AGAAATCTGTGACCTACTATGAGTTGTCATAGAAACTGATACGAACGTTTCAGCTCAAAAATCACTTTAAAATAATGGGTTAGTTCATAATCTTTTGCCATAGCTCCTTTGAATCTAAGATCTGGAGTCTGTCTATACACCAAAAATTTTCTGCCAACCCTCAGTTGACAGGGAGAGAGTGTTTTACTTCTCTTTTTTTATGTATGCTGCAATTGCCTGCAGTACAGATCCGGGGATATTCCCAGAGCAGGAGAACGGCCTAGAAAGGCAATGGAGGGAGCTAGAGGAGCTGTCTGAATAGCATCACAGGGAGCGACCAGAAAGCAAGCATGGCTAGTGTGTAAGTGGGAAGCTGGGACATGTTAACGCATATGTGTGCCTTTCATTTTCTGTGCACCACCTCCAAGAACTGTGCCTGTTTCCATGGGACAATTTTTTCAGACCTCTCTCTGTATCTGTCTTGTGCTGCAAGGGAATTGTAGAGCCTTTGTTGTAATCTGTAAAAGATGTATGTTGCGAAGAGTCTGACTGTGTGATTCCCCTGTCATGGCTTGTTTAATGGCTCCCTTTCACTCACACGCTCTCCCTTCAAAAGCCTGCCGTATGCAGGCGGCTGGAGCTAACTTTTTGCTCCATTGTCTTGGTTGAGGAGCTCTGGGCGATCTGTGGGCACCCTGGGATCAGGGTTACGCTGACTTCTTCTGCAGTGCTGCATTTCTCTCTCATATTCTTTCTCAGCATATGCAGGGCTCAATAGGAGAGTTTGCCGTGTTTGTCAGTAAAGGAGCTGCTTCCTTCTCTTCTGATTTTCCAGCCATGTGATAAAGCCCCTACAGCTTTAGAGCCTTTAGAACAACAAAAGGGTAACGAGTCCTCTGTTCACCTGCAGAGAGAGGAGTTGATGCGGTCATATAAGACATGGAGAGCCAGAGAGATCAGCTGGAATGTGACCAAATTAAATGCATTTACTCTGCAATGTTCCATTAATGCCAAGTAATTACCACATACAGTGGGATTTTTGTTTTGTTTTGTTTCATTTTGGCACAAGTGAATTATTTCCAAATATGAATGCATGAGGCTGTCCGGGCTGCTGGGCTCTTAGGTAAGTTATAACAAGCCTTCCCTATTCCCATATGCTCCTCTCCCTTCCTTCTGGCATTTGAAAAGCTGGCAATACAAAGACGGGAAATGCAAATGCAGAGAGGAAGTCTCATTGCCAGTGGCAGTGATGCTGGTTCTGCCACTCTGGTGCAAACTCCTGGCCTGATTTCTACCCCTAGGGTGCTGCCTCGGCAAATTCAAAGTGGTCCAAAGATGGAGAGCAGAGAAATGTTCCAGCTGAAGAAAATTTTCATTGGGGCCTAAAATTCTCATGTGGTTGAATGTGCAAGCACTGTCTGATCCCGCTTGGTACCCTGATCTCTGAGAAGAGTGCTGCCACAATACAAAAAATATACTCAGGCTGCCATGAAATTCCTATGTTAATCATCCATACTGGGCACTAGGGACTGTGTTGAAATAGGGATGGAGAAGGGTCAGAGAGATGCAAAACTGCCCTATGGCAGTTCTTTTATTTTAGGGCCCAGTCAGCAATAAATGTAACGATTCTCAACAGAGTCCACACTCTCCTCTCCGCTCAGTGAGCTATATAGAAGAGCTGATAATTTGGTTTTACTTTGGTGAGTGTCTGGAGGGAAAAAAAAAAACCCAAAAAGCTTTAATGTCTGTTGCCACTCCAGATTTCCTTTCACACATACTCTCCCAGTCCTGCAAATCCCCAGGGCCCAGCTTCAGGCTTTCAAAATGCTCTCTGGGAGGTATGTCAGGACCTCTGCCTAAGTACCGCCATCAGCCCATGTAGGGTGATCATTCATGGAAAACCATTGCACAGCACAGTGCGGTGAAGCTTACTCCACATTTGGAATGTGGGATGGTGGCACCCCTTTTTTCCTCTCTCTCTCTTGCAGTGGCTCCCCCAAAAATACCCTCAATGCATTTGCCACTTCATAGAAACCTCATTTTCCCACTTGATCCTCCCTAAAAACCCAAGACTAAAACTGTGTTGTGGATTCCAACTGATGGTAAGACAGGGTGAAATGCGGAGGAAGAGATTCCTTTCCACCAATGAATACTGTCGTCCTTTTCAAAGGGGTCATCCCTTCCCTTTCACCACCTCTCACTGGTCTGGGAGTGGGGCTAGTTCAAGGTTCACATACATTCTGCTCCAGCCTGGGGCTGTGGCAGGTCTGCTAAGGCTGGTAGCTTTGAGGCATGGAAAGGGAGCATTTTTGCATTTACTTTAGCTGCACCATTTTCCTGAAATAAGATGAGATGTTTTGTAGTGAGCATACATCCAGGCTGGAGAAATGCTTGTGGATATCCTGTGCTTAGGTCATGCTGTGCCTTGATCATTCCTTCAAGTTCTCATCTCTCTAAAAAACCCACACAATTTTAGGATAAGCAAAGAATTTCCATTTTTAGGTGCAAAGGGCACATGTCGGCAGTGTGCCTGCTATAGACTGAACATGTATATATGATACCAGCCAGTGCACAAACAGTGGAACAGGCATGGGCAGCAACACCCTCAGCTTATACACCATGCATCTGTTCATCAATCAGCCAGGAGCAGTCGCCAAGACTGAAAAACAACTGTTGCCACCAAAAAAACACGCACAATAGAAGGACACAAACTCAACTTGAGCTGTGGGGAGGTTTCTTGTTTCATAGCATCAAACAAGCACCGCTCGCTTTACAGGGAGCTGTTACTTGCCACTGAGCCCTAGTCCTCAGGAGAACTTCAGTGCATCTCCCCAGTTGGATGAGATCCTCCCAGCACCCTTTTAATGAAACCAGTTGTAAGATGAAAACTGTCCAGGATGTCTGCTGGAGGAAAGATTGAATCACACACTACTGTCTCATTAGTGTCCAGCTTTCCTAGCTTGCCTTAGGACTGTGGGCTCTCCACTCCATTTCACTGCTGGGGCTAGAGCATGTTCAGATTTGGCAGATGTTGACAGTCTTGCCTTTGTCCGGGGCTGCTATCCTTGACATTAGCATGCAGGTGTTCTTTTTGTGGCCGTTAACTGGTCATTCACTGCCTCTGCAATGTTTCCTTGTCACTCATCTCCTGCTTTTTTGTCAAGTAGGTATGACTATCTTGGTTATTATATGGCTAATAAATCTTCAGTTACCTCAAAACTTTGATTTCTATAAGATTTGATAAAGCACCTTTTGCTTTGTCAGATGAAAGTATCCACAAATCTGAATCATGCTGCTCCATTATCTACTGGATTGTTTGCCCATGGTTAACAAGGCCGCTTTAACACACAGGGTTCATCATGTTTACACCAGGTTGGAGACCAAATTTTATGCTTTTTAAAAAATGAGGGGGAAGGGATCATAGGACTCAGTGGTAAGGTAAATGACCAGTACCTGCTTTGAATGTGTGCTGCTTTGCTGAAAGTCTCATTTAGAAATATCTGTTACACTCCCCGGGTGTCCTATTACAGCGTGCTCCGGTTTTGCACGGATTGCAATAGAATTGACCTGCATTATTTACAAGTTGTCTCTAACTGATCATTCCAGACTTCTCTGCAGATCAGAGGAGATCATTTCCAAGACATTGTCATGCCTCTCATGTTTCTCTGAGAGGGTAGAGACTGTCCTTTCTTTACAGTGATACAGAGGTAGAATTACACTTGCGTGCATGAGGAGTGCTAGAGGAATGTCTTAAAAAATGAAGAGGGAATGGCATGAAGATAAGGCTGCCTTCCATTATGGGTGTCACTGGACTAGACTATCCTAATGCTTGTTCTTTTGCTGAGTTCAGTTTCTGGTCATGGTAACAGGTTTTAGGGAACCATGGTTGCAAATGACTGTTGTTTGCCTGACACTCACACATGTTGTCAGCTGGCTGTTTCCCACAGGTCTGTGTGCTGACTGGTCACAAAAGCTGGCTGTTCTGCCTGCAAGGTTTGAGTGCTTGTATTTGGACCTTTTATTAGCAAGACATCAAAGACTCATTTTGCCTATTCATAAGCAAAAACAAGAAAAGACCACCTTCTTTAGTCTGCCTAAAGTGCTTCTTTCATCTCCGTGACTCTTCAAGAGTTGCAAGTAAAAACGAAAAAAAAGCAAAGTCATCACAAATTTTGTGCAAGATTTTTGGTTTTGGATATAAAATCAAGTAAATGTAATAGTTGTACAAAAGCACTTCGAGTACTAAAAGCAGACATGAGTGCACAGTGGTGGTTGGCTGTGGGTAATGGAGATTAATAAATTAGTCAATATATCATACCTTTGATTTAAAGCAGGAGTTGCCATCCTGAAGATCATGGCTGCCTGGCTCTTCCTATGTTGCCAAATAATAAGAGAATCGAGCTCTGATGGAAAGGAGGGAATCCTCTCTCTTCCTGTCCACTGCTGGCAGCCTCAGTTACAAGCAGTGCTGGGTTGAGGGATTTCTCCATCAGAGCTAATTACTCAAATTTATTTCAAAGCCATACGCCTTTGTAAACAACTCCTAATAGGGGCTTTTTGCAGTAGCATTTACACCAAGGATGTTTTTTTCTCTAGATATCACTCATTTTGTTTCCTGTTGTTGGCAGAATATATTGATGGTGCTGCCTCCTACCTTAAGGAGCTGGCATATGATGGAATATATCAGCCCTACATCCAAGCTGAAATTCTCCTCCTACCTATTTCCCTCAGTCTCTCTCCCTCAGATCATGTTGGTATCACTGGAAGTTGAAGGTGTTCGTTTCCTATCAGGGCCCTGCATGATCAAGCATTGCATTCATCAGGAGTGGGCATCTGGGATACGGTCTAGAGTATTGCAAAGATTGGATCTTGGCTATGTCTGTTCTCCTACCTGGGACAGGAAAAAAACTGAAATAAATTGAAGTGTAATACGTTGGATGCTATGCTGGATAAAGAACAAGTTTTGGAGTGGGAGAGCTGTCATGGATAATTTAACTCAAATTCTGATCCTCTCTTTACAGCCACAGGGACTTAAAACCAGAAAACTTACTGCTGGATGAAAAGAACAACATCCGGATAGCAGACTTTGGGATGGCATCGCTGCAGGTTGGGGACAGCTTGTTAGAAACCAGTTGTGGGTGAGTGTCTCAGAACATACTGCAAAAATCAATGGTAGATGCCTGACATAAAAGTTGTCTATAGTAAGAGTTTCAATAAAGACCTGGAGACTTACACTGTGCGTTGTTGTTTCCCAGAAAGATAATAAATTGATATGATGCAGTAGCGTATAAGATGGCTGAAAGGTTTTTTAAGTGAAAAGCAGGCCTCTGTAGGTGTCACATATGGATATAAGAATCAAGGCTTTCAGGTTTGGATTCGTCCGCATACGCTGGTGTGTGTTTGCTTTCATTGGGTGTACAATTTTGGGGACTTGAAAGCAGTAGTGTTGGCTGTTTCAACAAAAGGCTTTAAAAATATTGTGGGCCTGAAAAAAAACAAATGTAAGGGATCTGAAATGGAATTTCCATGTCCTGATTAGGCTGCCTGCTTGCAGCTCTTCCTACTCATGCTCCACGCTGCTTCGTTTCAGCTCACGTGCAGGATTGACAGGGAGGCAGCAGGGTCCTTTGCAATTACAAGCAGGGCGTGAATGCAGATACAAAGGAGACTGCTTGGAGGAATATTGCAGGGGAATCTAAAAACATTTCCATGGCAATTCAGTTGCCAGCAGGAGCTTTATAGGAATTTCCAAGGCAGCCAGCAATAAGCCCAACAACTGAGCAAGGCCCAGGTGCCTGGCTGGGGACAGGACGTGCTCTCCAGGGGCAGTGCCCTCTCATCACCCTCGCCTCTAGGGGCACCAGTGGACCGTGCCCCTCCACCCACCGCCCCCCATAGCTATGGCTTGGCGCCATGTTGACTGTGCAGGGGCCTGCCGCAGTGAGCTGTGGCAAGGGCCGCAGCTGCATCGAGCTGCTGCAGCCTGGCACCGCTACGCCAGCTTTTAGCTGTGTCTGAATTTGTTATAACAGCAAGCTCAGCAACTGGAGTTGCAGACAGTACCAGCAGATTTCTACCTCCCCCTACAGACCTACTCTTCCTGGCCTTTGGTAGTGTGAATCTGATGACCCCATCCCAGCCCTGTCCTCAGACAGCTACAGTCCATGTTTTTTCAGTCTGTGCTCTGAACCAAGGCGATTCAGGGTAGATGTGGAGCCATCGTGGTTCCCTGTACAGCCCAGACATTGCCTCTCAGTCCTGAGCTGTATGGCTCTGCTTTCCAAGTCATGAATAATGGATAGCAGAATTATTTGAAGTTCATGATGTGGTCGAATCCTGGTTAATGAGTACACTGTGACCCACCCATTCCTTCCTGTCCGTGTCAAGTCAAGATTTGACCTCTTAACAGCAGAGATGAAAAGCAAGAAGCTATGAGTCTGCACATCTATTGCTTGTAGCTGCTTTCAAATCTCTGCTTTAGATCAGGAAATGAAGTCCTCCCTGCAGTTACCACAAAGCCTGTATACTCTTTAGATAAAATTTTCCCTCTTCCGTCCATGAGAAAACAAGAGGAAGTATAAAAACCAACCCAGTCTCGCATTGCCCTGTACCATTTTTCAAACTCCTCAGGAACCTCTCGGTAGGGTTCCTTTTCTTGTTAGCACCAGGATCTGTAATCCAGGTCTAGAGTCTCAAAGGGAGACTTCTGTTCCATGAGCTGTGCTGGAATTCAAACCTCCGTGCTTCAAGCAGAGCCAGTCCCCACATTGCGGCCTTAAAACGCGCTGATGAAGAAATCAATGGAACGGAAGCGACGTGCCTGTAATAAACAGAACACAGCAGCTATGCTATGATCTCCTGCCTTGCAGATGCATTTTAAGTGTGGTGCCAATCACTAGGCCTCCATGTGAGCTATTACACCACTTCATTAATTCTCCTGGCATGGAGCCCAGCATGGCTGATACTGATGTCTTGTGATCTCTCTGGTTTGGGAGGTGAAGGGAGGAAGGAAGGAAGGAAGGAGTATATAACAATATGCCACACTGTTCACAAAGAAAGGCAATCCAGTTATAACTCCCTTTCCCTTGGAGCACACACAGTAACCAACCTCAGAGCTTTTCAAGGCAACAGTTTTACCTACCCTTGTAGCTGGTGCTTTCAGCCAGCATGAAAAGGAACAAAACAGAGTGAATCATGGCTGAGTACTGAGCTTTAATGAGATGCTCCTCCATGCACCCAGAAGTTAATTTCCAGAATGGTTTTATCTGTGCTGTGAGCACTGATAATGAGATGAAACTATAACATTTCCATTGACAGTCACGCAAGGAGTCTCCAGGTATTTCTGTCAGTCAGAGTGGGAGGATCAGATGGGCTTGAGCTGTGTGATGCAGCTAACTTTGTCAGTACAGCAGAGCGGTTAGAGTGCAGTCAAAAATTCTTTGCTGTCACAAGCGAGCTGCTAAGTTTAGTCCAAAGTTTGGGTATGCTTTAGGTCACCACAGAGCCGTGACTGGCCTCATGAAGATAATCACGCAGCCTGAAGTATGCTGTATTGCATACCTCAGAGTCAGTGTTTTCTGGGATCTGCACAGTTTTCTGTAGCACTGATGGCTACCTGGAGAAAACAACAGAAGTTCAATGCAGTTGTGTTTGTGTAGGAGAGGGAGGTAAGGATGGACTTGCTGTTTCATGGACATAATTTGTCACAGACTGCACATGGGGCCTTCATTGTAATGAATCCCCATTACTAGAAATGTATATTGCACAAATCCTGCATATACACAGCAGAGAGGAATAAACAATGGTTTTAAATGTGTCTTTAGGTGCTTGAGGGGAAGAGGAGCTGTGTGTAGGGTCTGCAGAAACATTTCTGCTTACTGCAGAAATTGCACAGCAAGGCAATCTCATGGAGGGATGGTCCTTGAAATGCCAAAGTAACACAGTGAGTCTCTGCATTCCTCCGGGAGCAGGGGAGGTCTGTGAGCAAACAGCAGGCCAGGAGGGAAGTGGAAGATGTGGTAGGATGCTGCTTCTATCATTTTAGATCTGACTCTTCCTCTTCTTTACCTCTCTCCAGGCAATGGCATGCAGAGACACTCCCCTGTCTCTTTTCACAGCGATTCTTCCCAGCATGCTGCCTCGCAGTGTTTCAGAATGGTAGATATTGTCCAATCCATCCTGAATTGTCACTAGACAAGAAGAGTGAGGGCCTTCTGGTTAAACCTCAGGACTGAGACCCAGGTGATCCGAGCTTGATTTCTGTCTCTGCTGAAGGCATTCAGGGTGGTCTTGGACAAGATGCATTACCTTTCTGTGCTTCAGTTCTCCATCCTAACAAGTCATTGCAGTGCCCAAGTTGCTCTGAACATAAATTGCAGTCATTTCTACAGGAGTCTTGGAAAAATAGAAAGGATTTGGACATTCCCTGGACCTTGTTCCCTTTTCTTGAACTAAGAGGGCGTATGGCTAAAATGGAGGATTGAAAGAGGGTAGTGTTGAGTTACAATTCATGGGAGTTTGTAAAGATCCTTCCTAATTCCCCATTGCTCCTTACATAAACCTGGCAAAGTAAATTTTTGCCACCTCTTCACCTCTCCGTTTCACTCATCACAGCTTTGAAACACTAAGTCCTACTGGATGGAGATCGCTACAAGCTGCCAGGTGACCGAGAGCCCACAGCAGTGCTAGTGTCTGTGCTGCTTGCCTGCAAATCTGTCTATCCTGCCAAGAGCTGACATGTAAATTAGCTCAGTCCAACACCAGACCTGATCTCTGCAGAGGCAATCAGTATGGAGACTGACGCCATTGCTAACAGCCCCACGATTAACTGCCTGTATGCAACAGTTCCCCCATATTGGTGTCTCCACAGGGAACCTCTGGCCTGATCCAGAAAGCTGTGTGCATGTGGGAAGAGCGATGGCTGATCATGATTTTATTGAGAGTGAGAAGAAAGCCTTGTGCCTGTTGGTGCCATAATGAAGGAAAACAGCAACTTCCAACCCCAGCACAGTCAAATCCTCTGCTCTCAGGTCTCCCTAGCAATTGCTAGCAACACTTTGCAGGCTCACAGATTGCTTGGTTCTATCAGAAAAAAAAGCGCACATATTCTCACCAGGACTGATTACTGGCTTTTTTTGAGCTCAGGGTATTCTTAACAACCAATGCACTGTGCGTTTGTTAGACATGCTACCAGAGATCATCTAGGTCCTAATTCCCTTACGTCTGTATTTAGTGTGTCAGCACACCTGTGATGAGCAGATAATTCAAAATATTCAGTTGCCACACACCTCAGTGTCCAAGCACCATTTCTGATTTCAATGACAAGACATGATGCTGCACATATTCTTTCTCCTTTATAATAAATGTGTGCATGGTGTCTAAAACATATGCAAGTGTCCTACATCCAGTCATTGTTAGGGTTGCAAATTTAGGCTCTTAAAATTGGAAATGCCAGAATTAGTACTTTTTACCCCATCTCATCAAGAGCTTCCATTCCCAGCACTCCGCTCCCATCTCCTTCCCTGATTTGCACTATAGTCTTGCCAACTTCTCCCAGTCATTTCTGCTCCATACTTGGCCACAAATCCCATATCCTTTTCTCTTTTCCACTAGGTTCCAGCTCTAGTTTCCCCTACCTACTTGTCCCAGTCAGCTGCTGTCAGTCCTAGATGTGTTTCCTGTTGGTTTTGCCCTCGCTTTGTTTTACAGTTTTGTACCTTGTGATAATCCCAGCCACAGCAGCTCATAGTATCAGTTTCAGGTGGAAATACTGTTCCGTGAAGTGTTACCAGTGCAGGTAGAATTTTGATCCCGAGGCTTTAGAGAGTTTCTGCTAGTAAACACAAACAGCAATTTTGTAGTGGCAGTTTGAATAAATTTTTCTAGAGAATGCAAACATCTATTCGGGTTTTCCCTTTGCAGCTGAGGATACTAGAAATTCTCCTTTTTTATGCGAAAAAAAATTTACTTTAGATTAGACTTAGATAGTGGAAATGTTTTGGCCTATACACACCAACATGCATGCACACGCAAGCATGAAACCAGTCTGAGGCAGATGAAAAGCAAGGAAAATTGTTGTAAAGTTGTTAAATCAGTGATGAATCATAAGCAACTTAAAATGAGGATTACAAAGGGGAAT